TTTGGGCCTCACGACCTGTAACTTCGTCGTGAGGGGCCTGTCCACCATTCGTTGCCTGTTTAATGGCACAGTTTGAACTGTTTCAGTATAAAAGGAATGTCCAGTACCTCAAAAGTCACACTCCAAATCCACTTCAGACCAAAGCGGTCAAGGACCAGAACAAAATGTAGACCTGCACCAGGCTGGGAAGACTGAATCTGCAATAGGTAAGCAGCTTGGTTTGAAGAAATCAACTGTGGGAGCAATTATTAGGAAATGGAAGACATACAAGACCACTGATAATCTCCCTCGATCTGGGGCTCCACGCAAGATCACACCCCGTGGGGTCAAACTGATCACAAGAACGGTGAGCAAAAATCCCAGAACCACACAGGGGGACCTAGTGAATGACCTGCAGAGAGCTGGGATCAAAGTAACAAAGCCTACCATCAGTAACACACTACGCCGCCGGGGACTTAAATCCTGCAGTGCCAGACGTGTCCCCCTGCTTAAGCCAGTACATGTCCAGGCCCGTCTGAAGTTTGCTAGAGTGCATTTGGATGATCCAGAAGAGGATTGGGAGAATGTCATATGGTCAGATGAAACCAAAATATAACTTTTTGGTAAAAACTCAACTTGTCGTGTTTGGAGGACAAAGAATGATAAGTTGCATCCAAAGAACACCATACCTACTGTGAAGCATGGGGGTGGAAACTTCATGCTTTGGGGCTGTTTTTCTGCAAAGGGACCAGGACGACTGATCCGTGTAAAGGAAAGAATGAATGGGGCCATGTATCGTGAGATTTTGAGTGAAAACCTCCTTCCATCAGCAAGGGCATTGAAGATGAAACGTGGCTGGGTCTTTCAGCATGACAATGATCCCAAACACACCGCCCGGGCAACCAAAGAGTGGCTTCGTAAGAAGCATTTCAAGGTCCTGGAGTGGCCTAGCCAGTCTCCAGATCTCAACCCCATAGAACATCTTTGGAGGGAGTTGAAAGTCCGTGTTGCCCAGCGACAGCCCCAAAACATCACTGCTCTAGAGGAGATCTGCATGGAGGAATGGGCCAAAATACCAGCAACGGTGTGTGAAAACCTTGTGAAGACTTACAGAAAACGTTTGACCTGTATCATTGCCAACAAAGGGTATATAACAAAGTATTGAGTAACTTTTGTTATTGACCATCCAATTTTAAAATTAATACAAAATTTTGCAACCATAAGAAGTTATAATATGAGGGATACAACCATCCCAGCTCTGCAGATTTTGCTGAGAAGAGACAGATCATTTAGATCGTTTTGGTTGGTGTACTTCCCATATGTAGCTTGTTTTTGGTCGCAGGTTCGAATGGCTGAAATAATTGCAACATTACATGGAGCTAACTCTGAAAATAATATAATAATACTGTTAGCAAAAAAATGTATCTGGTAGGGTTAGGGGAACATAGTGAAGGAAAATATATTTTAAAAATTATATATGCATATACAGTACCTTTGGAAAGTATTCAGGCCCCTTGACTTTTTCCACATTTTGTCATGTTACATCCTTATTCTAAAATTTATAAAATTGTTTATTCTCCTCATCAATCTACATACAATACCCCGTAAGGACAAAGCAAAAATAGTTTTTTAGACATTTTTGGAAATGTATTACAAATAAAAACTGAAATATAACATTTACATAAGTATTCAGACCCTTTACTCAGTTCTTTGTTGAAGCACCTTTGGCAGCGATTACAGCATCGAATCTTCTTGGGTATGACGCTACAAGCTTGGCACACCTGTATTTGGGGAGTTTCTCCCATTCTTCTCTGCAGATCCTCTCAAGCTCTATCAGGTTGGATGGGGATCGTTGCTGCACAGCTATTTTAAGGTCTCTCCAGAGTTGTTCGACCTTGTTCAAGTCTGGGCTCTGGCTGGGCCACTCAAGGACATTCAGAGACTTGTCCCGGAGCCACTCCTGCGTTGTCTTAGCTGTGTGCTTAGGGTCGTTGTCCTGTTGGAATGTAAACCTTTGCCCCAGTCTGAGGTCCTGAGCGCACTGGAGCAGATTTTCATCAAGGATCTCTCTGTACTTTGCTCCGTTCATCATTGCCTCGATCCTGACTAGTCTCCCAGTCCCTGTCGCTGAAAAACATCCAACATCCCCACAGCATGATGCTGCCACCACCATGCTTCACCATAGGGATGGTGCCAGGTTTCCTCCAGACGTGACGCTTTGGCATTCAGGACAAAGAGTTCAATCTTGGTTTCATCAGACCAGAGAATCTTCTTTCTCATGGTCTGAGAGTCTTTAGGTGCCTTTTGGTAATCTCCAAGCAGGCTGTCATGTGCCTTTGACTGAGGAGTGGCTTCTGTCTGGCCACTCTACCATAAAGGCCTGATTGGGGGAGTGCTGCAGAGATGGTTGTCCTTCTGGAAGTTTCTCCCATCTCCACAGAGGAACTCTAGAGTACTGTCAGAATGACCATCGGGTTCTTGGTTACCTTCCTGACCAAGGCCCTTCTCCCCCGATTGCTCAGTTTGGCCGGGCGGCCAGCTCTAGGAAGAGCCTTGGTGGTTTTAAACTTATTCCATTTAAGAATGATGGAGGCCACTGTGTTCTTGGGGACCTTCAATGCTGCAGACATTTTTTGGTACCCTTCCCCAGATCTGTGCTTCGACACGATCCTTTCTCGGAGCTCTACGTACAATTCCTTCGACCTCATGGCTTGGTTTTTGCTCTGACATGCACTTTCAAGTGTGGGACCTTATATATACAGGTGTGTGCCTTCCAAATCATGTCCAATCCATTGAATTTACCACAGGTGGACTCCAATCAAGTTGTACAAAACATCTCAAGGATGATCAATGGAAACAGGATGCACCTGAGCTCAATTTTGAGTTTCATTGCAAAGGGTCTGAAAACTTATGTAAGTAAGGTATTTCTGTTTTACATTTTTAATACATTTGCTAAAATGTCTTAACTGTTTTTGCTTTGTCATTATGGGGTATTGTGTGTAGATAGCTTAGTGGTTAAGAGCGTTGTGGCAGTAACCGAAAGGTCGCTGGTTCTAATCCCTGGGCCGACTAGGTGAAAAATCTGTCAATGTGCCCTTGAGCAAGGCACTTAACCCTAATTGCTCATGTAAGTCGCTCTGGATAAGAGCGTCTGCTAAATGACTAAAATGTAAATGTAGATTGCTGAGGATTATTTTTATTTTTTAAATCCATTTCAGAATAAGGCTGTAACGTAACAAAATGTGGAAAAAGTCAAGTGGTCTGAATACCTTCCGAAGGCACTGTATGTATTTTGTTTTTATATGTACAGTTCCAGTCAAAAGTTTGGACACACCTACTCATTCAAGGGTTTATCTTTATTTTTTTACTATGTTCTACATTTTAGAATAGTGAAGACATTAAAACTATAAAATAACACATATGGAATCATGTTGTAACCAAAAAAGGGTTAAACAAATCAAAATATATTTTATATTTGAGATTCTTCAAATAGTCACCCTTTGCCTTGATGACAGCTTTGCACACTTTTGGCATTCTTTCAACCAGCTTCATGAGGTAGTCACCTGGAATGCATTTCAATTAACAGGTGTGTCTTGTTAAAAGTTAATTTGTGGAATTCCTTTCCTTCTTAATGCGTTTGAGCCAATCAGTTGTGGTACAAGACCCTATTTGGTACAAGACCAAGTCTATATTATGGCAAGAACAGCTCAAATAAGAGAAATGACAGTCCATCAGTACTTTAAGACATGAAGGTCAGTCAATACGGAACATTTCAAGAACTTTGAAAATTTCTTCAAGTGCTGTGGCAAAAACCATGACGCGCTATGATGAAACTGGCTCTCATGAGGACTGCCACTGGAATGGAACTGTCTGTGATTTATTTAGAATTCAAGGCACACTTAACCAGCATGGCTACCACAGCATTCTGCAGCGATACGCCATCCCATCTGGTTTGGGCTTAGTGGGACTATCTGTTTTTCATCAGGACAATGACCCAACACACCTCCAGGCTGTGTTAGGGCTATTTTACCAAGAAGGAGAGTAATGGAGTGCTGCATCAGATGACCTGGCCTCCACAATCACCCCAATCTTAACCCAATTGAGATGGTTTGGGATGAGTCGGACGGCAGAGTGAAGGAAAACCAGTCAACAAGTGCTCAGCATATGTGGGAACTCCTTCAAGACTGTTGGAAAAGCATTCCAGGTGAAGCTGGTTGAGAGAATGCCAAGAGTGTGCAAAGCTGTCATCAAGGCTATTTGAAGAATCTCAAATATAAATTATATTTTGATTTGTTAAACACTTTTTTGGTTACTACATGATTCCATATGTGTTATTTCATAGTTTTGATGTATTCACTATTATTCTACAATGTAGAAAATAGTAAAAATAAAGTAAAACCCTTGAATGAGTAGGTGTGTCCAAACCTTTGACTTGTACTGTATATATATATATATATATATATATATATATAGTTACCAAAAAATATATATGGGGATGGAAAGGATGGAGACAATTACATTGATGGAAGCTACAATCTATCTGCAATATTAAAGCTGATCTACCTCCCAACAAAAACACACAAAAAAGTATGGCGAGGTGCACTGCATGGTTTCATATGGCACTCCATCCCCACTCTTCCAAAGTGAAAATGACATGAACTAGGGCTAATGTAGTCCAAGGGTGAGGAATGGAGCTATACCCACTCCTACCTCTATGGTGCGTAAAGTATGTAACATCTATTGTCACTCCAACTTCTGTAGGACTATCAGGACAATCTACCCTTCAAATGAGTTCTTGCATTAGAAAGCAAAATAGAAACGATCTAAACTAAATTCAGAACTGTTTGGACAGCCAAACATTTGACAGTCAGTTACTGTACAGTATTTCCAGTAAATCTGCTCAAGGGATTTTGTTAGCTGACATCCTCTGTTCTCTGGAACTGGTTGACATAACTGTCTGTTATGACTCTCTTTTATGTGTAGCTGGAATTGCTGCCCATCTATAACTGCGCTCAGACACCATGATGTGTGTTGTTCCCCCAGGGCTGGTGGTGGTACTGCTAATAGTACTCCAGTGGGCAGGACGAGGCCTCCCTTCTCCTGTCAGGCCCATCTGTGACCCCCGCGTTCTGGACCGCTTCATCATGGAGGCCCGTGACACAGAGACCGCTTTGGTGAGACACTGACTGACTGGGCCTAACCACCACTAGATGGACCTGGGCAACTTTTACATGTCTGGACAATGTCACAGTGAAGTGAAATGGATGATGATATTATTAGAGTGTATTATGTACAGAAACAATTCCGCTTTATTAGTGTGTCTGATCTTGCTCTAACCCTGTCAATCTGTATTGCCTTCCCCCACGCAGCGAGGTTGCGCCATGACAGGCACATTTGTGGTTCCTCTGACAAACGTTGACTTTGTGGTCTTGGAGACAAAGGATGTGAGTACCTGTCTATCAGTTCCATATCTACTGTACAGTGCCTTGCAAAAGTATTAATCCCCCTTGGCGTTTTTCCCATTTTGTTGCATAACAACCTGTAATTTAAATGGATTTTTATTTGGATTTCATGTAATGGACATACACAAAATAGTCCAAATTTGTGAAGCAAAAAATAAATAAATAACTTGTTTCAAAAAATTATACAAAATAAATAATGGAAAAGTGGTGCGTGCATATTTATTCACCCCCTTTGCTATGAAGCCCCTAAATGAGATCAGGTGTAACCAATTACCTTCAGAAGTCACATAATTAGTTAAATAAATTCCACCTGTGTGCAATCTAAGTGTCACATGATCTGTCACATGATCTCAGTATATATACACCTGTTCTGAAAGGCCCCAGAGTCTGCAACACCACTAAGCAAGGGGCACCACCAAGCAAGCGGCACCATGAAGACCAAGGAGCTCTCCAAACAGGTCAGGGACAAAGTTGTGGAGAAGTACAGATCAGGGTTGGGTTATGAAAACATATCAGAAACTTTGAACATCCCACGAAGCACCATTAAATCCATTATAATTTTTTTTTAAAGAATATGGCACCACAACAAACCTGCCAAGAGAGGGCCACCCACCAAAACTCACGGACCAGGCAAGAAGGGCATTAATCAGAGAGGCAACAAAGAGACCATAGATAACCCTGAAGGATCTGCAACGCTCCACAGCGGAGATTGGAGTATCTGTCCATAGGACCACTTTAAGCCGTACACTCCACAGAGCTGGGCTTTATGGAAGAGTGGCCAGAAAAAAGCCATTGCTTAAAGAAAAAAATAAGCAAACACGTTTTGGTGTTCGCTAAAAGGCATGTGGGAGACTCCCCAAACATATTGAAGAAGGTACTCTGGTCAGATGAGACTAAAATTGAGCTTTTTTGCCATCAAGGAAAACGCTATGTCTGGCGCTGTCACGCCCTGGCCTTGAGAGGCCTGTTGTCTTTAGTTGGATTGGTCAGGGCGTGAGTTTCTATGTTATATATTCTATGTTTATGTTCTAGTTTTTCTATTTCTATGTCTGGCCGGGTATGATTCCCAATCAGAGGCAACTGTCACTCATTGTCTCTGATTGGGGATCATACTTAGGTAGCCTATTACCTACTGTTTATTGTGGGATCTTGTTCCGTGTAGGCTTGTGTGTGTATAGCCTGAGGACTTCACAATACGTTGTTTCTTGTTTTGGTTTGTATGTTTATTGGGTGAATAAACATGTACGCTTTTCACGCTGCACCTTGGTCTGACCCGTCTCGCAACGATCATGACAGAAGATCCCACCACAAAAGGACCAAGCAGCGTGGCCAGGAGGAGCAAACACCCGGGACACAGCGGGAGGCTACGTTGGTAGATGTCCTCCTCGGTTGGGGGAAAATCACAGAGGAGGAGGCCGTCCGTTACGGTAAGGCAATGAAGGAGGAAGCCCGGGTAGGAGAGGATCAACGGCGACATCGACGGTGCCGGCCGAAGAGGAAGCCCGAGAAGCAGCCCCAATAAATTTTTTGGGGGGGCTCACGGGGTGGACGACGAGGCAGCAGGAGGCCGTGAAAGGGCTGACTAGAGAGGAGGAGGCCGCTATTTTAGAGGTCCTCCAAGACCTGCGGATCGAGAGAGAAGAGCCTTGACCACTGCACCCGGTGGGGTTCCAGTTGGAGTCCCTACGACCATGGGAACAGGAATGGGAACAGTTTTTCACTGAGGAGTCGGAGGATGACGACGACGATGAGGTTCTGTTCCCTAACTCGTGGGGGCTCCCGGAGGAGTCCTCACTGGAGGAGGATTGGGTGCGGAGAGAGAAGGACTGGAACAGTCGCACATCTCCAACGCCAGTTCCCAGCCCGGTACGCCCCGTGCCTGCTTCTCGCACCAAGCCAGTGGTGCGTGTTCCCAGTCCGGCACGGCCCGTGCCGGCTCCTCGCACCAAGCCAGTGCTGCGTGTTCCCAGACCGGCACGGCCCGTGCCTGCTCCCCGCACAAAGCCAGTGGTGCGTGTTCCCAGTCCGGCACGGCCTGTGCCTGCTCCTCGCACCAAGCCAGTGGTGCGTGTTCCCAGTCCGGCACGGCCCGTGCCTGCTCCTCGCACTAAGCCAGTGGCGCGTGTTCCCAGTCCGGCACGGCCCGTGCCTGCTCCTCGCACTAAGCCAGTGGCGCTTGTTCCCAGTCCGGCACGGCCCGTTCCAGGACAGAAACATGCACCGAAAATGGAGTCAGCAGGTACAGTTGGTCCGTCCGGATCTTTGGAGGAACGTATCCAACGGCAGGGGAGCAGGATCCAGGCGCTCGGCAGCGCAATGGAGCGCGTGGTGAGTAGATTGGAGCGATGGGAGAGAGGTGGCGTTTCTACACCTCCTCCAACCACACAACTCACCCGACCTCCAGCGACGGTCCCCTGCAGGGAGCACTTTAGCGTGTCGGTTCCTAGTTTGGGGCCGGCAACCAGCCCAACTACCGGGTTGGAAACCACCTCTGCGTCGGTGCCCAGGGTGGGCACGACGTACAGCCCCGTTTTGGAGCAGGTGCTCCTAAACGTGTCGGTGCTCAGTCTGGGGCCGGCAACCAGTCCTATTACAGGGCTGGAATTTTCCTCTGCGTCGGTGCCCAGGCTGGGCATGGCATTTAGTCCTGCTCCAGAGATGGGGATGGATACGGGTCCGGAAGTTTGCTCCACCCCGGAGCCAGAGCAATCCGCTCCACCGGTGCCTTATCCAGCTCCGGTCGGTTGCTCCACTCCGGAGCCAGAGCAATCCGCTCCAACGGTGCCGAGTCCAGCTCCGGTCAGCGGCTCCACTTCGGAGCCAGAGCAGTCCGCTTCACCGGTGTCCAGTCCAGCTCCGGTCAGCGGCTCCACTCCGGAGTCAGAGTAGTCCGCTCCACCGGTGCTCAGTCCAGCTCCGGTCAGCGGGTCCACTCCGGAGCCAGAGCAATCCCCTCCACCGGTGCCTGATCCAGCTCCGGTCAGCAATTCCATTCCGGAGTCAGAGCAGTCCGCTCCACCGGTGCCCTGTCCAGCTCCGGTCAGCGGCTCCACTCCGGAGCCAGAGCAGTCTGCACCACCGGTGCCCAGTCCAGCTCCGGTCAGCGGTTCCACTCCGGAGCCAGAGCAGTCCGCTCCACCGGGGTCGAGTTCAGCTCCGGTCAGTGGCTCCACTCCGGAGCCAGAGCAGTCCGCTCCACCGGGATCCAGTTCAGCTCCGGTCAGCAGCTCCACTCCAGACCCAGAAGTCACCCCCTCTCCAAGGTCGGGGTCTCCCACACCAGGGTCCAGACAGGGCTTGGTGCATCGTGGGGGGATTGCCGATCCAGGCCCCGACGTCAGCCCCTCTCCAGGTTCGGGGTCTCCCACACCAGGGTCTAGACAGGGCTTGGTGAATCGTGGGGGGATTGCCGATCCAGGCCCAGATGTCAGCCCCTCTCCAGGTTCGGGGTCTCCCACACCAGGGTCCAGACAGGGCTTGGTGCATCGTGGGGGGACTGCCGATCCAGGCCCAGATGTCAGCCCCTCTCCAGGTTCGGGGTCTCCCACACCAGGGTCCAGACAGGGCTTGGTGCATCGCGGGAGGATTGCCGATCCAGGCCTAGACGTCAGCCCCTCTCCAGGGTCGGGGTCTCCCACATCAGGGTCCAGACAGGGCTTGGTGCATCGTGGGAGGAAGGAGAGGGGAAGCATCGCGCCGAGGTCCAGACCAGACCAGGGGCGCAACGGGGAGGCAGAGAGGAAGAGGTCATCACGCCCGGAGCCGGATCCGCCTCCGAGGCTGAAAGCCCACCCGGACCCTCCCCTAATGAGTCAGGTTGGTGCGGCCGGAGTACGCACCTTTGGGGGGGTACTGTCACGCCCTGGCCTTGAGAGGCCTGTTGTCTTTAGTTGGTTTGGTCAGGGCGTGAGTTTCTATGTTATATATTCTATGTTTATGTTCTAGTTTTTCTATTTCTATGTCTGGCCGGGTATGATTCCCAATCAGAGGCAGCTGTCGCTCATTGTCTCTGATTGGGGATCATACTTAAGTAGCATATTGCCTACTGTTTATTGTGGGATCTTGTTCCGTGTAGGCTTGTGTGTGTATAGCCTGAGGACTTCACGTTACGTTGTTGCTTGTTTTGGTATGTTTATTGGGTGAATAAACATGTACGCTTTTCACGCTGCACCTTAGTCTGACCCGTCTCTCAACGATCGTGACAGGCGCAAACCCAACACCTCTCATCACCCCGAAAACACCATCCCCATAGTGAAGCATGGTGGTGGCAGCATCATGCTGTGGGGATGTTTTTCATCGGCAGGGACTGGGAATAGTTATGCACGCTCAAGTTTTTTGTTTTTTTTGTCTTATTTCTTGTTTGTTTCACAATAAAAATTATTTTGCATCTTCAAAGTGGTAGGCATGTTGTGTAAATCAAACGATACAAACCCCCCAGAAATCCATTTTTATTCCAGGTTGTAAGGCAACAAAATAGGAAGAATGCAAAGGGAGATTAATACTTTCGCAAGCCACTGTACATGAATAGCACATATAGTATAGAGAGAAGAGTTTGGCCCATTTCCTCTGGTTTCTCTACACTGATTGTACAAAACATTAAGAACACCTTCCTAATATTCAGCTGCTCCCCCCGTTGTCCTCAGAATAACCTCAATTCATCGGGGCATGGACTCTACAAGGTGTCGAAAGCGTTCCACAGGGATGCTGGCCCATGTTGACTCCAATGCTTCCCACAGTTGTGTCAAGTTTGGCTGGATGTCCTTTGGGTGGTGGACCATTCTTGATAAACATGGAAACTGTTGACCGTGAAAAACCCAGCAGCGTTGCAACCCCACCGCCACCACGGGGCACTCTGTTCACAACGTTGACATCAGCAAACCTCTTACTCACACAACGCCATACACGTGGTCTGCGGTTCAATCTTTTGTCTTGCCCATTCAGCCTCTGAATGGCACACATACACAATCCATGTCTCAAGGTTTAAAAATCCTTCTTTAACCTGTCTCCTCCCCTTCATCTGACATCAATAAGGGATCGTAGCTTTCTCCTGGTCAGTCTGATGACCGGATCTATGTGTCCTGTATTAACTTTTTTATTTATTTTTAGGGGGTAGATCAGCTTTAATATTGCAGATAGATTGTGGCTTCTATCAATGTAATTGTCTGCATCATTTCCAATCCCCCATATACATTATATATACAAAAGTATGTGGACACCCCTTCAAATTAGTTGATTTGGCAATTTCCGTCATTTTGTAAAGCTCGCCGCCATTGGACTCAGTGGAAATGAGTTCTCTGGATTGATGAATCACGCTTCACCATCTGGCAGTCCGATGGACGAATCTGGGTTTGGTGGATGCCAGGAGAACGCTTCCTGCCCAAATGCATAGTGCCAACTGTACAGTTTGGTGGAGGAGGAATAATGGTCTGGGGCTGTGTTTCATGGTTCGGGCTAGGCCTCTTAGTTCCAGTGAAGTGAAATCTTAACGGTACAGCATACAATGACATTCTAGACGATTCTGTGCTTCCAACTTTGTGGCAACAGTTTGGGGAAGGCCCTTTCATGTTTCAGCATGACAATGCCCCCATGCACAAAGCGAGGTCCATATGGAAATGGTTTGTCGAGATCGGTGTGGAAGAACTTGACTGGTCTGCACAGAGCCCTGACCTCAACCCCATTGAACACCTTTGGGATGAATTGGAACGCCGACTGCGAGCAGTGCCTGACCTCACTAATGCTCTTGTGGCTGAATGGAAGCAAGTCCCTGCAGCAATGTTCCAACATCTAGTGGACAGCCTTCCCAGAAGAGTGGAGGCTGTTATAGCAGCAAAGGGGGGACCAACTCCATATTAATGCCCATGATTTTGGAATGAGATGTTCGACGAGCATATATATTTTCCTTTATTATTCACCCCTAACCCCACCACCCCTCCCCTAATTGGAGTAAACTAATGGCCATCAACACTTAGGCTTCTACTTCCAGTTTATACATACTATATACATTTTACGGACACAGTATATTTTACATTAGTTATCTTTTGTTTGTTTTTTGTCCCATCCTTCAGCTCCCCTCAACCCCTCCCATCTATCTATGAACACCATCCATTTTTGATTTCTATTTGCCATATATTTTTCAACTGTGCTGTGATATTTCACAAAAGTTCTGAATCTTTCTATTCTCATATATTTATACAGTGTAAATTAAAGATAAACATTTTTGCTAAGGGTATTATTATATTATTAATCGATTGACTATGACTGTATATAACATTCTATTGGTTGCAAGAATTTTGTATAATAATTTAAATGGGAAAACTGAAAGTATTTTGCAATCTGTATGGCACAGCTGTCAATTTTTTGGTCCTTAAATTAAACTTGTATACTTTTTTAATTATCACATTTTTCTTTAACTAATTTTGGTCTTAATGCAGGGCCGACAGACAAGTTCCTTACTTTTTCCCCCTTCCACTTGCCTTTTCCATTTTTGCAGTAGTGCTGCAATTAGTTGGTTGTAATTTTGGATAGAGCAGACATTTCCATATATTTTTGTTAGCTGCATGTGTGACATAACTCCACCAGTCCTTTTTATGATATAATTTACAAAGATTATACAGTTTTTAAACATTTTTTAAAATCAATTAGTATATTTGAGTTTAACCATAATATTTGTTGTAATATTTGTTCTGTCTTTTCTGGTGGATTAAATGGAAATTGCAACCATCTTTCAATGGCTTGTTTTAAAAATGGCGATATTTTGGAGATTATTTCATTTTCAAATAACTGAAAGTGAGAGGTGGTAATCTGAATAAAGGGGAAGTCATATATGAATTTTCATTGAGTCCATTGAGCTCTCTCTGCCAATACATTTCTTTCTGTACAGTGTGCCCTAATGTGCAGCCTTCTTTTGCTATATAATGATAATGTACAGTGGGGAAAAAAGTATTTAGTCAGCCACCAATTATGCAAGTTCTCCCACTGAAAAAGATGAGAGAGGCCTGTAATTTTCATCATAGGTACACGTCAACTATGACAGACAAATTGAGATTTTTTTTCTCCAGAAAATCACATTGTAGGATTTTTTATGAATTTATTTGCAAATTATGGTGGAAAATAAGTATTTGGTCACCTACAAACAAGCAAGATTTCTGGCTCTCACAGACCTGTAACTTCTTCTTTAAGAGGCTCCTCTGTCCTCCACTCGTAACCTGTATTAATGGCACCTGTTTGAACTTGTTATCAGTATAAAAGACACCTGTCCACAACCTCAAACAGTCACACTCCAAACTCCACTATGGCCAAGACCAAAAAGCTGTCAAAGGACACCAGAAACAAAATTGTAGACCTGCACCAGGCTGGGAAGACTGAATCTGCAATAGGTAAGCAGCTTGGTTTGAAGAAATCAACTGTGGGAGCAATTATTAGGAAATGGAAGACATACAAGACCACTGATAATCTCCCTCGATCTGGGGCTCCACGCAAGATCTCACCCCGTGGGGTCAAAATGATCACAAGAACGGTGAGCAAAAATCCCAGAACCACACGGGGGGACCTAGTGAATGACCTGCAGAGAGCTGGGACCAAAGTAACAAAGCCTACCATCAGTAACACACTACGCCACCAGGGACTCAAATCCTGCAGTGCCAGACGTGTCCCCCTGCTTAAGCCAGTACATGTCCAGGCCCGTCTGAAGTTTGCTAGAGTGCATTTGGATGATCCAGAAGAGGATTGGGAGAATGTCAGATGAAACCAAAATAGAACTTTTTGGTAAAAACTCAACTCGTCGTGTTTGGAGGACAAAGAATGCTGAGTTGCATCCAAAGAACACCATACCTACTGTGAAGCATGGGGGTGGAAACATCATGCTTTGGGGCTGTTTTTCTGTAAAGGGACCAGGACGACTGATCTGTGTAAAGGAAAGAATGAATGGGGCCATGTATCGTGAGATTTTGAGTGAAAACCTCCTTCCATCAGCAAGGGCATTGAAGATGAAACGTGGCTGGGTCTTTCAGAATGACAATGATCCCAAACACACCGCCCGGGCAACGAAGGAGTGGCTTCGTAAGAAGCATTTCAAGGTCCTGGAGTGGCCTAGCCAGTCTCCAGATCTCAACCTCATAGAAAATCTTTGGAGGGAGTTGAAAGTCTGTGTTGCCCAGCGACAGCCCCAAAACATCACTGCTCTAGAGGAGATATGCATGGAGGAATGGGCCAAAATACCAGCAACAGTGTGTGAAAACCTTGTGAAGACTTACAGAAAACGTTTGACCTGTGTCATTGCCAACAAAGGGTAAATAACAAAGTATTGAGAAACTTTTGTTATTGACCAAATACTTATTTTCCACCATAATTTGCAAATAAATTCATAAAAAATCCTACAATGTGATTTTCTGTAAAAAAAAATCTCATTTTGTCTGTCATAGTTGACCTATGATGAAAATTACAGGCCTCTCTCATCTTTTTAAGTGGGAGAACTTGCACAATTGGTGGCTGACTAAATACTTTTTCCCCCCACTGTATAATGACACATTCAGTGAGTTTTGTTTTAGCGTACGTGTTTATGTAATGTGTGTATGTAATGCGTCATTTGTGTGTGTATTCCCAGACTGGGGAGCAGGCTCTGGAGGTCCAGTCGGGGCTGTCTCTGTTAGACCAGGCCCTTGGTGCTGTGAGGGAGTCAGTGAGCCGTGCTGCCGTGCAGAGCCTCATCGACAACAACAAGAGCAACATCCACAGCCTGAGCCAGGTGCTGCGCAGCCTCCACATCCAGGTGACTCACTTAGGAGTGTGAGTGTCTCGTCTACAGAATGACCAGTGGTCTGTCTGAGTGGATGGGACTGTGATGTGAACAGTGGTCCCGTATGGCTCGGTTGGTAGAGCATGGTGCTTGGAATGCCAGGGTTGTGGGTTTGATTCCCATGGGTGACCAGTATGAAAAAGTATGCACTCACTGCTGTAAGAGTGTTTGCTAAATGACTAAAATGTAAACAGTTTGTTATGTAAGACCAGGAGATGTTCCTGGTCTGATCACCTGACCAGGGAAAAACTCCTGTCCCTATTTATCAGATGTGCCTCAGTGTGCACATACTGTACCACCCCAGCAGAGAGCCTAGTTGGGAATAGATAGGTGTTCTTGGAATGATCATGGACCGTGGGTACAGTCAGTCAGACGTTCCTCTCCCCTCAGCATGCCACCACCTGCCTGCTGTACTTTGTTTGCTTCTCTGTCAGAAGCCTGTGAATTTTCAGTGTAGGGCAGTTCAGTGACTGAGATGGTATTGAGCAGGCCAGACATAGCAGTGGGAGTTATGGAAAGGGATCAGAATGGGGCTTTTATTTGGCTGCATACCGTTTGGCATGGAGTAGCGGGTCGGGAAGAAAACATGGAATAGAACCCCTTCCACAGAACAGATGAGTGGTGCTTTCTTTTTAGGGTTGTATGTTAAGCCTTGTTCTTCCTCTCATCCATTGAACAGGACCTGTCCCTCTCTCCAGTGCCAGCAGTAGGTGACTCAGCGACCAGGAAGGTGTCGTCCCTATCCGAGCTGCTCCGTGTCCACACCAACTTCCTACGAGGAAAGGTTCGCCTGCTGCTCACCAACGCACCTGCCTGTCAACAGAACAGCACGTGATTAGAGCTTTCCCTGAAGGCAGAGGCTGTTATTGGACCGTTGTTTAGAGAGAGGATGAGGTCGTTGGACCTCTACTGAAATCTCTGAATGGACTTCAAGTATGGAATGCGTAGACAAGGTGATTGTTGACTGGATAGAAACTGCTGCGAAAGTCAGTTGATGTGGGTGGAACTGATGAGAAAACAACATGAATGAGTGAGAGAGAAAAAACGGGACTTCTACAACTCATTGACCTCATCGGTTCCTAGTACTACCTACCAGTACCGCCAATGAGCTCTGATGCATGCAGCGGAAAAAGCTACAGACAGTACCCACTGGGCACAGACGTCAATTCAATGTCCAATTCCACATTGGTTCAACCTAATTTCATTGAAATGACGTGGAAATAACATTGATTCAACCAGTTTGTGTCCAGTGGGTACAGATCATATGAGAAGATGATCTATAAAGTCCTAAATCCAAGGATTAGATTTTTCATTTTATTTATACATAGTCTTAAAATGTGTTTTTGTATAACTTATGTAATATAAATCTCTATTTTCATATACGAGTGTGTCCTTTGAAGTCTTTGAACCATATTTGATGATTGATGCTCAGATTTAACATACTGTAGTCAGTGTTTGTGTGTTCATGTAATATGCTTGTCAGTACTGTTATAATTCAGACTTTTCACTGTGTGCTCTCTGCACTCGGTCTGTCTGTGTGCCCCTCCCTCCGGCTTACCCTGTCTTTGGGATCAGAGTAGACATTGTATTTCCCCACCAGGCAGCACACACAACAGGCAGAGCACTGAGTCTGAGAATGAGATCAGTTCCTGGAGAAGACCGTTCTGGACTCTGCTGCCCTCTGCTGGATAGACCTTGGCTTCAGTGCCCTACTTATGCCCCTGTTATACAAAGAAAAGTACCGGCTCTATCGCTATAAAAATACATCATTAAATCATCTTATATTTGTGTATATAGACCTACAAATTTTCACCCCCAAAAAAGAAAAATAATACCAACCATAGTACATCAATAATGTCAACATGGGTAATCATTAATCAGATCAGCAAGCAATCACAGATTAGCGATAATAAATAATTGGATGTTGTGTGTTAATAGACAATAGAGGCAAATATGATAATTTGTTTAAGAATATCTTTTTAATGTTCTCCAGTTCAGACACAACATACAGTGTACCATAGCCTCTATATGAAATATTAACTTCATTCTTTAAACCCGTTCGTTATGCTTCCTTTACAGTGTCTCAATCCTCCAGTAGGTTACTGATTCCAGACTAAATGAAAACAGACACAAACAGTTGCAAGTCTTTTTGGGCAACCAAGCGCGAACCTTGAAAAGTAGAGATTTGCATCCTTGTAATGTTTTTTTGTTTGTAACATTGAACCAACGCCAGACTTTAGTGTCACCGTGTAAACGGGTGAGCGTGTGCTTCCAGAGTCTGTTGGCTGTAATATCCCCAGTTTCCAAATTTCAGTCATATATATTTTTTTAGAAAAATACCGTCTTTTTTAACTTGTTCTTTTTGGAAACATGGGCATCTCAAACGGACAGCAAACAGGTGAGCTGATATTCCAGAAAATGACTTAAACAGAGTGTGCATGGCAGACAAAATAGTAAAGGATAGCAAAGCAACCACAACCATCAGTCTGAAACAAGACTAAAGAGTACAAAGGAGTTGACAACATACTGTACCTGTTCTAAGCTATGGGGTAATACTATGTCACTTCTCAGGACAGTGAGTGTCACTAACAATTACCAACAGCACCACCATCAAGATTCAAGTTCTTGTTTTGTAGGTTTGGGTTGAGCACAGTTTCAAACCATGACTATCTCTACCCCTATCACTGCCTCCCTCTTTATGTCCTTTTACTCTCTCTCCCTATCACTTTCCCGTTTTCTCTCTCTCTGTATCCATATTCTCTCTAAATCTGCTATCTATGCAGCTCTTATCATTGGCCACATAACAGATGCAAAAGGACTCATCTTAAATGAATTGCCATTCCAGACAAAAGCTGTCTTCATGATTGATGTGGCAATTGACAAAATGTGCAAGTAATGCCGACCTCCCCCAGAACCCCACCCACGTACAGTATGTTCCTTCTACCCTAGAGAACCCTGAGCCATATCCCCGTCCCTACCGCTATTTATGTTGAACTCAACCATGCTATGATTTTAGATGTAGTTTTCATTCACAGATCATTCATGTATGTTAATAACTGTCTACATGTGCCCATAACGTGTTGCACTTTGACCTTAAATCTAAGAAATGAAAGAGAATCAAACAACAACAGCTTAAATCAGCTGTCTGAATTTGCACCTGTTGTTACAAAGGAATAATTTGGCCCTTCACTCATAAACCAAACCATAAACATAATATTTACAAATACCAGTTTGTTCTTTTACACTTAAAAAAAATGTACAGTTTGTTTTCCATGTGTGTTTTGTTCTTTTTTCTGAGTCCCGGTTCTCTGTCCAGTCCCCTGTGATGGACCCCAGTCTATAACCCCAGAGTGATCATCATCATCCCAAAACAAGACAGGAAACAAAACAGGAAAAATATCCCGCTAGATTTGTTGTTTGTGTTATATGTGAGTAATGTTTATCAAATGTTTTTCTACTCAAGTTTTAGAATGCATCATCTGTGCATCGGCGACATGTCAGGCGTCCTGCAGAAGATTTGTCTCTCCATTGCCATTGTTGTTTTCCATGTCAATGTTTTCCTAACGTTGTCTCAACTTCGGTAACAGTTTTTTTTCATGAATGTCCAGAGTTTGTTGTGTCCCTGTGTTCAGTTGTGCAGTTGAAAGATCTGAAACGTGCGTACAAGGCTTTTTCACCTTTGACCTACAGTATGTCAGTCTGTCTGAGCCCCCTTCATACCCCCTGCCCCTTCTGCCCCTCAACAACAGAGAGAACCTCAGAACAACAGAAGAGATGAAAAGACAGTGACATATCCTGTATCCTGTTACACAAAGCTAAAATTCCACTGAGGAGAGGATAATAGTGCTTAAAACTAAGATAATTGATAATCAAAGACAACCCTCATTTCCGGGAAAATATGTAGAATTATATCAATTTTTACCATTGAGGCAATTCACGTGAAATATGATATTTTCACGATTGAAAAACGAGTATTAGCCTATCATGGACAAACACTGCAAGCTGATGGAGTTGTAAAGTCCAACAATGTTTTTTCTGAGTAATGATCAAAGACAATCTTCAGTTGAGATGGTAACACGATGACCGTGCAACACTTCACAGCTAAAGTAATGAGAGAAAGAGTCAACTAAAAAGAGAGGGGGTTTAGAGATGGGGCTTCAAACAGTATCTCAGGGCAGCAGGTGCTTGTGGCACAGCCTCAGTGATAAGAAATGAAAAAATAAAGGACATATTTGTTCTTCTTGTTATAATCATAGTCAATTTTCATCTCCTGATACCTCTTTTGAAGTATCTACAGAATAGAACATCGTTTTCTTCATGAAGTGCACAAAGTTCAGCGGATATATAAAAAAAAAAAAAATACTTTTCAAGAAGAAAAAACAATAGGAAAACAAGGCCAAACATAAAAATAAACATTTAAAATACAAGCTTTCCACTCCGATGTCCGTCCTCCGTTTAGAAAATAAAAATCATGCAAACCAGTTATAAATCTTAATATTCTCTTTATAATTTTACAAGGATATATTGAATATTTCCACCCTCGAGTAAAGCCCAGCCACAGTGCAACACTGAATGCAAGAAAAAACTAAACGAAAGTGCAATAGATCAAAAAGAAAGATGAAACATTTGGCACTTTTTTGATGATGGTAATTCCTTGTGTAAGATCAAGTCAGGATGGGCCTCTCCTGGTGGTCCATTGGACCCTCATTGAGAGAGGAGCGTTATCACAGTACTTGGCACCAAGAATGCTGGTAAAAACGAGATATCAGAATATCACTTTTTTCATTCATATCCTTACAATTTATCAATAATACATCATTTACATTTATGTGTTTGTATAAAAGACTCCAAAGAGGAAAAAAGGAGTCATGAAGTGGTTTATGTGAGAGAGATAGAGGATGAAAATGAGACTGGGAGGATTGTGTGAACGTTGTGATCAAGAGCTACAGGAACAGACGGGAAGAGAAAGAGAGTGCGAGGCAGAGAGAAGAGGAACATTAATATGGGTTGAGAGAGAGAGAGAGAGAGAGAGAGAGAGAGAGGAAGAGAGAGGAAGAAAGAGATAGACAGAGTGAGAGAAAGTGAAACACCCAGATTGTACAGACATATGAACAGGTTGGAGGATGTGTGATAGAGATGTGTTAGTTGTAATGATGAGCCATGTATCCCAACAGTAGGGGGCGATAACACAGAAAAAGAGTCCCAGTAAAAAGCTGGAGGATAACCCCAGTGAGAGAGAAAGAGGAGAGGATCAGTCTGTGGTGTTTGTTTGTATCTCTGCTGAGCCAGAGATGGTGCCTGGTCCTATACGCGGGTAGTGGAGTGTTGGTGTGGCAATGCGTTGTTGCTGTGGCCAGGGGTGGGAGTGGTGGAGGGGGCCGGGGCGGGGGGGTAGGTGTTGAAAGGGTGGAGGGGCTGCATGCCGCTGATGGTGCTTGGGATCATTGTAATGGTGTTGGCCGTCATCAGCGGCACGTCCTCCGGTGCCCGCCGCAGGGCCAGCGTGTAGTCTGGTGGGCCCACCTGCGCCCGTAGAGGCTCTAGGTCGCCGTGGAGACCCCGGGAAGGGAGGGGTGTGCCGATGCCATGCTCCATCTCCACCCTCTGCTGTTTCATCTGCAAGGACATAAGCTCCTCCTCCTGGCTCAGTGCCAGGTCATTGTGGGACGGGGTGCCCACCACTCCCATGCCCATGCCCATGCCCATGGCGGTGCCCATGCCGCGCTGGGGGGACAAGCGGCGGTGGCGTCTCTGCAGCAGCTCGTGGCGTTTGTCCCGTTTGTAGTAGAGGGCTGCGAAGGCCAGCACGTTGAGGAAGAGCAGCGAGGCGCCCACCGCCACCGTCACACTCAGCTCCGTGGAGTAGTCCCTTATCTCGTCGGGGAACGGGTTGCGGCGGGGCGGCTCGGAGGGGTCTGGCTCAGGTTCGGGGGGGTTGGTGGAGATGACGGGGTGACGGGTGGAGCGAGCCCCTGGGGGGCCAGGCCGGTGGACACGGGGACCTCCTCCTCCAGGCGGCAGGCGGGTGGTGATGGGGTAGATGTCCTCATGCAGGGAGTGCAGGTGAGGTACCAGCTCCAGCCAGAAGGCCACCTTGTTGGCCCGGTAGTTGTCTCGGACACGGGGCTTCAGGCCAATGTGGAGGTACTGCTTGTCTTTGGAGCTGAACTTGGTCCAGATGACCTCCTCAAAGCGGTTGGGCTTGGTGTGGATGAACTTAGTGTCCTGAGGAACAGGCAGGTTGGGATCCCTTATGGGGGGAGGGAGAGAGAGAGAGAAAGAGAGAGGGAGGGAGTAGAGAGAGAGAAAGAGAGAGGGAGAGGAGAGAGGGAAGGGGAAGAACATGAGAGAGAGGAGACCCAGAGATAAGAGGGAGAGAGAGCAGAAGAAAAGGGGACCAAAATCCAAGAGAAGAAGATGAAGATTTCACCCTATGATTCATGTACTGTATGCATCTGATAAAGCATGTTTATAATTTGATATCTCAGTGCTTGTGGGCTAGGTCCTTCTAGGTCCAGTACTGACCCGGTCTTGGCAAAGTTGGTCCGGGGGGGGCGACCACGCCGAGCAGAGCGTTCTTGGAAATTTTTACGGGGAAAAAGGGGCGTGGCCCCCCCCAGGGGGCCCCCAAAACACGTAGGGCACTCACCCCCCGGGGCCCGCTCCCCCAAAGGGGGGGGCCTCCGTCCCTGGCATGGGGGGGAAGGGGAGAATAGACGACGGAACCAGCGTGCAATTTTGGCTGGGCACAGCTGGCGCACCCACTGGTGGCGTGAAACCCACGGGTCTTCCTCCCATGTCTCCGTTGTCCCTGTCGGCCCAGTCTGTGTACATGAACTTTATGGTCTCCCTCAGGATGTCCTTACCTGGAGACAGAGACAGAGAGAGAGAGAGAGAGAGAGCGAGAGAGAGAGAGAGAGAGCAAGCAAAATAGATTAGAGAGAGACACAGAGCGAGGGGGAGAGAGAGAGACACACACAGAGAGAGGGGGGAGAGAGAGAGTGAGAGAGAGAGAGAGAGAGAGAGAAAGAAAGAGCGATTAGAGAGAGAGAGACAAACAGAGAGAGCGGGGGGGTCATAGAGAGAGGGGGAGAGACAGAGACAGAGAGAGAGAGAGAGAGAGAGAGAGAGAGAGAGAGAGAGAGAGAGAGAGAGAGAGAGAGAGAGAGAGAGAGAGAAAGAAAGGCAAGATAGATTAGAGAGAGACAAACAGAGAGAAGGGGGAGACAGAGAGAGAGAGAGAGTGAGAAAGAGAGAGAGAGAGAGAGAGAGAGAGAGAGAGAGAGAGAGAGAGAGAGAGAGAGAGAGAGAGCGAGCGAGAGAGAGAGAAAGAAAGAAAGAAAGCAAGAGATTAGAGAGAGACAAACAGAGAGAGGGGGGAGAGACAGAGAGGGGGGAGAGAGAGAAAGAGAGACAGAAAGAAAGTAAGCAAGAGAGATTAGAGAGAGACACAGAGAGAGAGAGAGAGAGAGAGAGGAGAGAGAGAGAGAGAGGGGAGAGACCGAGAGAGAGATTAGAGAGAGACACACAGAGAAAGCGGAGAGAGAAAGAGAGAGCAACAAGAGATGGGGAGGTGAAGGAACAGAGAGACCTTGAATACCCAGCAATGAAATACTAAACCATAGCAAAATAAAATATATATCTATTCTTAACACACATGGGTAACTGGAGCATTACTTCTGCTCCTGTTGGGGTGACTAATATGTTTGTGTGTATGAGGACATGTATAACGAACTCTCACCCTCAGGGTATCCATACAGGTTGTCCACAAAGTTAGAGATGGTGTAGTCGAAGGAAGCTGCAGAGATTCCATCTTCCCCCTCACTGTCGTCCACAAATTTCAGCCCTTCTCCCTGGTTCACCCCTAGCAGGATGTCATAGTTCAGGAACTCCCCCTGGTGGCAACACACACACACAGCATTACAGATCATGGAGGAAGAAAAAGACACTGCTATAACAACAGTAATAGCAGACGTTGCATAAACATGCCACATACATAAGAGACTGTGAGGAATAAATATATATATTTTTTCATGGTGACTGGAGCCAGAGGCTGAGTCTGACCTGTTGCATGAGAATCTCGGGGTCGTCGGGAACCACGTCTCCATCCACCACTGGGCCGAAGGCGATGTGATACCTGGCCGGCTGGATGTCCTGGTCCACCAGCTCCCTAAAGCTCTTCCTCCTCAGACACTCCACCAGGTCGCCTGTGTCCCCATAGCTGCAGCCTACCTTCTTAGCCAGGATCTGAGTGTACATAAGGGGCCGGTAGTTGACCGACCAGCTGGAGATGGCTGAGCCGCTCTGGGCTACGGCCCTCTGGAACAGACCTGGGGGACACAAGAGGGTCAGAGGACTCAGTGTAGTGCAGAATGTGTAGATCCCAGAGTGTAGAATATACAGTGCATTCAGACCCCTTCACTTTTTCCACATTGTGTTACGTTACAGCCTTATTCCAAAATTGATTAAATCCCCCCCCCCCCCCCCATCAATCTACACACAATATCCCACAATGACAAAGAACAAACTTTTTTTTTTTTTTTCAACATATTTATTAAAATAAAAAATTGAAATATCACATTTATATAAGTATTCAGACCCTTTACTCAGTACTTTATTGAAGCACCAGTGATTACAGCGTTGAGTGTTCTTGGGAATGACACTACAAGCTTGGCACACCTGAATGGGGAGTTTCTCCCATTCTTCTCTGCAGATCCTCTCAAGCTATTTTCAGGTCTTTCGAGAGATGTTAGATTGGGTTCAAGTCCGGGCTCTGGCTGTGCCACTCAAGGACATTAAGAGACTTGTCTCAAAGCCACTCCTGCGTTGTCTTGGCTGTGAGCGTAGGGTCGTTGTCCTGTTGGAAGGTGAACCTTCGCTCTGGAGCATGTTTTCATTAAGGATCTCTCTGTACTTTGCTCCGTTCATCTTTCCCTCAATCCTGACTAGTCTACCAGTCCCTGCCGCTGAAAAACATCCCTACAGCATGATGCTGTCACCGCCATGCTTCACTGTAGGGATGGTATTGGCTAAGTGATAAGTGATGCCTGGTTTCCTCCAGACGTGACGCTTGTCATTCAGGCTAAAGAGTTCAATCTTGGTTTCATCAGACCAGAGAATATTTTTTTTCATGGTCTGAGAGTCCTTTAGGTGTCTTTTTGTAAAGTGGGCTGTCATGTGCCTTTTACCAGGCTCTGTCGCAGCCGGCCGCGACCGGGAGACTCATGGGCGGCGCACAATTGGCCCAGCGTCGTCCAGGGTAGGGGAGGGAATGGCCGGCAGGGATGTAGCTCAGTTGATAGAGCATGGCGTTTGCAACGCCAGGGTTGTGGGTTCGATTCCCACGGGGGGCCAGTATGAAAAAAAAGATATGTATTCACTAACTGTAAGTCGCTCTGGATAAGAGCGTCTGCTAAATGACTAAAATGTAAATGTAAATGTACTGAGGAATGGCTTCCATCTGGCCACACTACCATAAAGGCCTGATTGGTGGAGGGCTGCAGAGATGGTTGTCCTTCTGGAAGGTTCTCCCATCTCCACAGAGGAACTCTGGAGCTCTGTCAGAGTGACCATCGGTTTCTTGGTCACCCCCCTGACCAAGGCCCTTCTCCCCCGATTGCTCAGTTTGGCCGGGCGGCCAGCTCTAGGAAGAGCCATGGTGGTTCCAAACTTCTTCCATTTAAGAATGATGGAGGCCACCATGTTCTTGGGGACCTTCAATGCTGCAGAAATGTTTTGGTACCCTTCTCCAGATCTGTGCCTCAACACAATCCAGTCTCAGAGCTCTATGGACAATTCCTTCAACCACATGGCTTGGATTTTCTCTGACATGCACTGACAACAGTGGGACCTTATATAGACAGGTGTGTGCCTTTCCAAATCATGTCCAATCAAGTTGTAGAAACATCTCAAGGATAATCGATGGAAACAGGATGCACCGGAGCTCAATTTCGAGTCTCATAGCAAAGGGTCTGAATATTTAAAGTACCAGTCAAAAGTTTGGACAGACCTACTCATTCAATGTTTTTTCTTTATTTTTACTCTTTGCTACATTGTAGAATAATAGTGAAGACATCAAAACTATGAATAACACATATGGAATCATGTAGTAACCAAAAAAGTGTTAAACATATCAAAATATATTTTATATTTGAGATTCTTCAAATAGCCACTCTTTGCCTTCATGGCAGCTTTGCACACTCTTGGCATTCTCTCAACTAGCTTCACCTGGAATGCTTTTCCAACAGTCTTGAAGAGTTCCCACATATGCTGAGTACTTGTTGGCTGCTTTTCCTTCACTCTGCCGTCCGACTCATCCCAAACCATGGGAGTGTGGAGGCCAGGTCATCTGATGCAGCACTCCATCACTCTCCTTCTTGGTAAAATAGCCCTTACACAGCCTGGAGGTGTGTTGGGTCATTGTCCTGTTGAAAAACAAATGATAGTCCCACTAAGCCCAAACCAGATGGGATGGCGTTTCACTGCAGAATGCTATGGTAGCCATGCTGGTTAAGTGTGCCTTGAATTCTAAATAAATCACAGACAGTGTCACCAGCAAAGCACCTCCACACTATAACACCTCCTTCTCCATGCTTTACGGTGGGAACTACACATGCAGAGATCATCCGTTCACCCATACCGTGTCTCACAAAGACACAGCAGTTGGAACCAAAAATCTCCAATTTGGACTCCAGCCCAAAGGACACATTTCCACCGGTCTAATGTCCATTGCTCGTGTTTCTTTGCCCAAGCAGGTCTCTTCTTCTTATTGGTGTCCTTTAGTAGTGGTTTCTTTGCAGCAATTCGACCATGAAGGCCTGATTCACACAGTCCCCTCTGAACAGTTGATGTGAGATGTGTCTGTGACTTGAACTCTGTGAAGCATTTATTTGGGCTGCAATTTCTGAGGCTGGTAACTCTAATGAACTTATTCTCTGCAGCAGAGTTAACTCTGGGTCTTCCATTCCTGTGGAGGTCCTCATGAGAGCCAGTTTCATCATAGCGCTTCATGGTTTTTGCGACTGCACTTGAAGAAACTTTCAAAGTTCTTGAAATGTTCCGTATTGACTGACCTTCATGTCTTAAAGTAATGATGGACTGTCGTTTCTCTTTGCTTATTTGAGCTGCTCTTGCCATAATATGGACTTGGTCATTTTCCAAATAGGGCCATCTTCTGTATACCCCCCTACCTTGTCACAACACAACTTATTGGCTCAAACGCATTAAGAAGGAAAGAAATTCCACAAATTAAGTTTTAAGAAGGCACACCTGTTAATTGAAATGCATTCCAGGTGACTACCTCATGAAGCTGGTTGAGAGAATGCCAAGAGTGTGCAAAGCGGTCATCAAGGCAAATTATGGCTATTTGAAGAATCTCAAATATAAAAAAATATTTTGATTTGTTTAACACTTTTTTGGTTACTACAAATGTGTTATATATATGTGTTATTTCATAGTTTTGATGTCTTCACTATTATTCTACAATGTCAAAAATAGTAAAAATAAAGAAAAACCCTTGAATGAGTATGTGTGTCCAAACTTTTGACTGGTAGTGTATGTAAATGAGGTATTTCTGTTTTATATTTTTAATACATTTCTAAAAACCTGTTTTCACTTTGTCATTATGGGATATTGTGTGTAGATTGATGAGGAAAATGTTTTATTTAATCAATTTTAGAATAAGGCTGTAACGTAACAAAATGTGGAAAAAGTGAAGGGGTCTGAATACTTTCAGAATGCACAGGATATAGGGCACTGTACTGTCTGTATCTAGAGAAAGCACTCACTCTTTCCATTAACACTGGCTTTTTATCCCTCTGACTCAGTCACTAGCTGTTCACGAGGCCTTTAAGGCAATACAGAGTGAGTGCTTTAAATGATGCGTCAGAGGAGGAGCCACCACCGTGGCACCGTGAAGTATTACATATGGAGGGAGCATTGTTCCAGATACACTGCCTCTCTCCAAAGCCCCACTAAATCATTGTAAACATTAGGCTTGGCAAATCCGCTGGTTTCCTCACATCACATACGGAGGCAGCGACAAGAAAATGGTGACAGGCCGTCACACAGCCGTGTTGGCGTTAACACTGACTGGTGGCTGTGTTAAATGGTGAGAGAGGGAGATAGAGAGAGGAGAGCACTGCTGCAGTGTTATGTAAAGTGCTTTGTTGTCCCCCTGTTTTCATCTGAAGATTCTGTCATTAATAATTAAGACCCCCTGCCCTCCATTCCATCCCCTGCATGTGCCCCCTCCCCTGCTCCTCTCCATGTGAAATCAATTAAGACTCGTCTCAGCTGCGGCTCAAGTCCTGAGCTCAGCTCTGCTCTTTCCTACTCAGACAGACAGACATCCATATTTCCAAGCCTCATTATAGTGCTGTCGAACACCTCTCTCACATACACAGACACACATCTATATGAACTCAGTCACAAAGACCTGACTCAAACGCCAGTCTCTCCCTTACATAGCTACACAAACTGAGATTCCTATTCCTATCTCCTATACCCAAGTCAAATTCATACGGCTGTCTTATGCCTATTGATCGGATTCTACGAACCGATTCTATGTTTCAGATAGTCATATTCATATTCATATGGCCCTAAAGTTTTATCCAATAATACTCTACCTCATTCAACTTCACACATCATCTTAGGGTTCAATGCCATTCTACCTTGTTGCTCAGTTAGACACTATGTAACTGAGGCAAGAGGGACGTTTGTCTTTAAGAACACCTCTCTGGGTTTCCATTGTGACACATACCCGAAAAGTACATTTAAAACATCTTGGATGTTGCTATGGTAGTGATGATCAAAATGACATTTGTGATAATGATGATAGGATTGATGATGTATGGAATTGATAGTGATGATAGGGTTGATAGGTTTGATAGTGATGATAGGATTGATAGTGATGATAGGATTGATATTGATGATAGAATTGATAGTGATGATAGGTGTGATAGTGATGACGGAATTGATAGTGATGACAGAATTGATAGTGATGATAGGATTGATAATGATGATAGGATTGATAGTGATGGTGGGGATTGCTGTCGTAGATTCGTTTTAGTAGTAGTTTATTACATTTTTACGTGTAAGCCGTACTTGGCAGCTAAACGCTGAATTGCAGTACACAGCACATACAAGTAAATACATCTCAAGGCGCTTAAAAAGCAGTGACGGTGATGATGAGATCGCTGTTATTGTAGAGGATGACTGATGAATATCATGTTTGATGATGTTGGTGATGATGATTATGCTGCTGTTGTTGATAATTACTAAAACGATGATGATAGGTCCTTACCCTCAGAGTGGTGGGAGAGGATGAGCAGATTGACACAGGAGGCTCCAGCCCCGGAGCCAAAGATGGTGATCCTCTCTGGGTCTCCTCCAAAGTGGCCAATGTTCTCATTGAGCCAGCGCAGAGCCTGGATCTGGTCCAACAGACCATAGTTCCCCTTGGCTGACTGGTCCCCGGTACTCAGAAACCCTGCAGGACAGAGAGAGAGTGGGATGGAGGGAGGGATGGAGGGATGGATGAGGCAAGTGAGACAGAGAAGCAAAGAGTGAAATCGAGGAATAGTTTTTTTTGTATATATATACAGTACCAGTCAAAAGTTTGGACACACCTACTCATTCAAGGGTTTTTCTCTATTTTTACTATTTTCTCAATTGTAGAATAATAGTGAAGACATCAAAACTATGAAATAACACATATGGAATCATGTAGTAACCAAAAAAGTGTTAAACAAATCAAAATACAATTTATATTTGAGATTCTTCAAATAGCCACCCTTTGCCTTGATGACAGCTTTGCACACTCACCACCATTCCTGTGGCGGTCCTCATGAGAGCCAGTTTCATCATAGCGCTTGATGTTTTTTGCAACTGCACTTGAAGAAACTTTCAAAGTTCTTGGAATTATCCGTATTGACTGACCTTCATGTCTTAAAGTAATGATGGACTGTTGTTTCTCTTTGCTTATTTGAGCTGTTCTTGCCATAATACGGACTTGGTCTTTTACCAAATAGGGCTATCTTCTGTATCCCCCCCCACCTTCTCACAACACAACTGATTGGCTCAAACGCATTAAGAAGAAAGAAATTCCACAAATTAACTTTTAAGAAGGCACACCTGTTAATTGAAATGCATTCCAGGTGACTATCTCTTTAAAATGGTTGAGAGAATGCCAAGAGTGTGCAAAGCTGTCATCAAGGCAAAGGGTGGCTATTTGAATAATCTCTCAAATATAAAATATACAATAACACTTTATTGGTTACTACATGATTCCATATGTGCTATTTCATAGTTTTGATGTCTTCACTATTATTCTACAATGTAGAAAATAGTAAAAATAAAGAAAAACCCTTGAATGAGTAGGTGTGTCCAAACTTTTGACTGGTAGTTTATATGCTAAAACCTGTTACCACCTCATAAACCTATTATCTCCTTCACCATATCAGTGTTGGACAGCTAATGGGTGTTGCTGGTGTTTTTACAGGCACATAAAACCCTGGGCACACTGGTAGCAGAACAGCACTCTGTTATCTGTGGGTCTGAGGCCTAGCTACTGCTTTACGAGACACACACACTCATCTGCCTGCCTGCCTGCCTCTCTGTTTGCTGGTTAATTGGTAGTTTGGGCTTGATAGTTACTGCATGGGTGGACCGTAAACAATGCCGGCAGTGATTAATACCTGTGGTACTGACATGCTACAACTGGACGAGGAGAGGAGCACAAAGCCACTACGTGTGAACTGACGTGTTAGACATGACTTTATGAAAAGGGAATTGATAGCTATGAAGTGGCATTGTGTGAATGGTGATTATACATGTTATACAGCGTTTTGCCAAATACTTTATGATTGCCTGCATAATGACCTTCACAGGCAGATTAAATGGATCATGATGTGCCAGTAACAGAATCCTAGCTAAGAGTGTTGTGTAATTGATTGTCCTTGAGCAGAGCATGCCATCCTGGCTCCATGGTTCCACACCATGCAGGTCAAGGCAAACACCACTCCAGGAGATGCAGTACAAGGAACTACACGGGAAAATATGTTGAAACCCTTCCATGGCTCCGGGAGAGGGTTTTGTATTCTCGGTAGCCCTGTTTGTAAGGAGCAAAGGGCAGAGAAAGAACAAAGACATATGCCATGCAGCTATTCACTCATCCACTGCTGCTTAACTGCCCCCATCACCACAGTCAAAGAAAGGAGACCAAAATAAGACTAAACACAAAAGCAATCTGACCTCTAACCCCTATAGCTTTGAGCGAGAGAAAGCTGGAGAGAGGGAGGCAGTGAGAGAGAGATAATGAGGGAACAGAGACAGAGAAAGAGAGAGAGAGAGACACAGAGAGAGAGAGATAGAGAATGGGGAATGGATTAAACAGATGAGGACAGGGCGGTCCTCACCATGTGGCCCCCCTCTGATTGGCTGACTGGTAAGTCCTCGCCCGGTGATTGGCCAGTTTATAGAGTGATGACAGAGTGGTGTCTCAGTGTCATAACGATTTGGATCACAGTGGTCAGGGACAGGCTCTTGGCCTCCTGTGACTCAGTGACCCTACGACCAATGAACTGTGACCCGTGCTGTTGGCCAGAGCCAGAGGCGTGAAAATGTGTCCGCTCTCATAGCAGCCCTGTGCTGAGCTGTCTGCCTGCCTCTGTTGCCTGGCAACCGGCCAGAGCTACAGTCACAGAGATCTGGACACACACTCTGGCATGACATGCATACATGGACTTTGAGTCAGAGACACTCGCATGCTCACATGAGCTGTTCCCCACTCTCTTTGAACGGGTAAGAGGAAGAAGAAATATGGTTATCTGCCAATATTTAAGATAAGTCAGACAAGTTCCCTCTCCCTCTCTGTCCCCCCCGTCTGTCTCTCTTTCGCTATTTCTTTCACCCTCTCTCTGTCGCTCTCTCTCCCCCCAGTTTTCTTTTCCATACTCTTCCTGTCTGCTGAGTTGGGCTTCCTGACGACTTTAGCGCTGAGAGCAGCAGTTTACGAGGCCGAACTCATGCATATTCAATACTCGGTTTAGGTAATGGCCAAGGAACTGTGAAGAGAGTCTTCAACCTCGGAGAGCGAGAGAAGGAGAGATATGGCAGAGAGAAAGAAATGAAGGGGAGAGAGACATAAAGGAAGGCTAGAGAGCACTAGATTGAGAGTCATTTGAACAGAAATGAAAAATATGAGATGAAGAGCTCTCTAAGCATCCACCAGACTGCCCCTTCCTGCCACTGGAACCATGGTAACACCATCATAGCTGCTGGTAATACCCTACCACACATACCAATAGGACGGTTGTTTAAAATTCTACAACAATGTAATAGTCTTATATTGTGAATGATTGATGGAATGATTGATATTTCATCATCAGGGAAGACGGTGAGAAACCATTATCATTAATGAATTGTAGCTTGCATATCTTAAATAGGCAACTTTATAATCATACAGACCTGGTACAGTGGGGAAAAAAAGTATTTAGTCAGCCACCAATTGTGCAAGTTCTCCCACTTAAAAAGATGAGAGAGGCCTGTAATTTTCATCATAGGTACACGTCAACTATGACAGACAAAATGAGAATTTTTTTTCCAGAAAATCACATTGTAGGATTTGTAATGAATTTATTTGCAAATTAAGGTGGAAAATAAGTATTTGGTCAATAACAAAAGTTTCTCAATACTTTGTTTTATACCCTTTGTTGGCAATTACACAGGTCAAACGTTTTCTGTATGTCTTCACAAGGTTTTCACACACTGGTGCTGGTATTTTGGCCCATTCCTCCATGCAGATCTCCTCTAGAGCAGTGATGTTTTGGGGCTGTCGCTGGGCAACACGGACTTTCAACTCCCTCCAAAGATTTTCTATGGGGTTGAGATCTGGAGACTGGCTAGGCCACTCCAGGACCTTGAAATGCTTCTTACGAAGCCACTCCTTCGTTGCCCGGGCGGTGTGTTTGGGATCATTGTCATGCTGAAAGACCCAGCCACGTTTAATCTTCAATGCCCTTGCTGATGGAAGGAGGTTTTCACTCAAAATATCACGATACATGGCCCCATTCATTCTTTCCTTTACACGGATCAGTCGTCCTGGTCCCTTTGCAGAAAAACAGCCCCAAAGCATGATGTTTCCACCCCCATGCTTCACAGTAGGTATGGTGTTCTTTGGATGCAACTCAGCATTCTTTGTCCTCCAAACACGACGAGTTGAGTTTTTACCAAAAAGTTCTATTTTGGTTTCATATGACCATATGACATTCTCCCAATCCTCTTCTGGATCATCCAAATGCACTCTAGCAAACTTCAGACGGGCCTGGACATGTACTGGCTTAAGCAGGGGGACACGTCTGGCACTGCAGGATTTGAGTCCCTGGCGGCGTAGTGTGTTACTGATGGTAGGCTTTGTTACTTTGGTCCCAGCTCTCTGCAGGTCATTCACTAGGTCCCCCCATGTGGTTCTGGGATTTTTGCTCACCGTTCTTGTGATCATTTTGACCCCACAGGGTGAGATCTTGCGTGGAGCCCCAGATCGAGGGAGATTATCAGTGGTCTTGTATGTCTTCCATTTCCTAATAATTGCTCCCACAGTTGATTTCTTCAAACCAAGCTGCTTACCTTTTGCAGATGCAGTCTTCCCAGCCTGGTGCAGGTCTACAATTTTGTTTCTGGTGTCCTTTGACAGCTCTTTGGTCTTGGCCATAGTGGAGTTTGGAGTGTGACTGTTTGAGGTTGTGGACAGGTGTCTTTTATACTGATAACAAGTTCAAACAGGTGCCATTAATACAGGTAACGAGTGGAGGACAGAGGAGCCTCTTAAAGAAGAAGTTACAGGTCTGTGAGAGCCAGAAATCTTGCTTGTTTGTAGGTGACCAAATACTTATTTTCCACCATAATTTGCAAATAAATTCATTAAAAATCCTACAATGTGATTTTCTGGATTTTTTTTCCTCAATTTGTCTGTCATAGTTGACGTGTACCTATGATGAAAATTACAGGCAACTCTCATCTTTTTAAGTGGGAGAACTTGCACAATTGGTGGCTGACTAAATACTTTATTTCCCCACTGTATGTGTGGGATTGAATTGTGTGTTCTAATCATGAAATATGAGCAATGAGTCACACACACGACCCATGAAACAGTTGGCTATGAGCGGAGTAAGTGCTATGAGAGCCAATTAGGAGTAGTGATGTGTTGTTCTCCATTACAGTGGTTAAGTAAAAGCCTGTAGTGTTCACTGTTCCAAGGAGAGAGCTGTCAGTGTGTGTTTGTGTGTGAGTAGTTGATGTAAGATTTGTTCTGTGAAAACTGTATTTCACACCTCATGATTTATGAGGGGGGCGTGGCAGGAGGTGACCAAATTAGGTAATTCAATTAGATAACCACGTGGTCACCACTTGTTGTACATAACACCTTTGATCTAACTACTTTGATATGGAGGACTTTGATGTATGTTTTGCTGCTGTGTGTGTGTGTGTGTGTACCCAGGTGTGAGGGGCTTGTTGTGATCCTGGGGGTAGTGTATTGGGCTATATGTAAGACAAAAGACTTGGTGCTTTTCATTAAGTAGAGTCCTTGGTCAATTGTTGTCACCTAGAATGAGAACATAGAAATAATAACATAGATCTCCACACCCTGACTCAACATACAAGAGTCCCCTAAGTCAGGGCGTGACAGTACCCTCCCCCCCAAAGGTGCGGACTCCGACCGCACAAACCTGACATAACAGGGTAGGGTCCAGGTGGGCATTCCGCCTCGGAGGCGGATCCGGCTCCGGGCGTGACGACCACATTCTCTCAGCCTCCCCGTTGCGCCCCTGGTCTGGTCTGGACCTTGGCGCGCTGCTTCCCCTCTCCTTCCTCCCACGATGCACCAAGCCCTGTCTGGGCCCTGGTGTGGGAGACCCCGAACCTGGAGAGGGGCTGACGTCTGGGTCTGGACTGGAGCCGCTGACCGGAGCTGGACTAGGCACCGATGGAGCGGACTGCTCTGGCTCCGGAGTGGAGCCGCTAACCGGAGCTGGACTAGGCACCGGTGGAGCGGACTGCTCTAGCTCCGGAGTGGAGCCGCTGACCGGAGCTGGACTCGGCACCGGTGGAGCGGACTGCCCTGGCTCTGGAGTGGAGCAGCTGACCGGCACCGGTGGAACGGGCACGGGCCGTGCCGGACTGGACACACGCACCACTGGTCTGGTGCGAGGAGCAGGCACGGGCCGGACCGGACTAGGAACACGCACCACTGGCTTGGTGCGAGGAGCAGGAACGGGCCGGGCCGGACTGACGACACGCACCACTGGTTTGGTGCAAGGAGCAGGGACGGGCCGTACTGGACTGGGAACACACACCACTGGCTTGGTGCGGGGAGCAGGCACGGGCCGTACCGGACTGTGGAGGCGGACTGGAGGTCTGGAGCGGAGAGCTGGCACAACCCGTCCTGGCTGGATGCCCACTTCCGCACAATACGTGTGTGGCGTTAGCACAGGACGCACTGGGCTGTGCACACGCACTGGCGATACAGTACGTAGAACCGGCGCAGGATATGCTGGACCGAGGGGGCGTACTGGAGACCAGGAGCGTTGAGCCGGCACACCCCGTCCTGGCTGGATGCCCATTTTCACACGGCACGTGCGTGGTGCTAGCACAGGACACACTGGACTGTGCCGGCGTACTGGCGACACAGTGCGTAGCTCCGCATAACACGGAGCCTGCACGGTCACACGCTTCCTAGCGTGAGTACGGGGCGTTGGCTCTGCTCTGAACCCAGGCTCCGCCAACCACCCTGTGTGCCCCCAAAAATTTTTTTCTTGGGGCTGCTTCTCAGGCTTTCTTCCTGACCGAGTCCTTTTGTGTTTCCGTTGCTCCTCTCTAACCCGGGCTTCCACTGTCGCCTCCCAAGGACGGCGATCCATCCCAGCCTGAATTTCCTCCCATGTCCAAGATCCCTTTCCGTCCAGGATCTCCTTCCATGTCCAGTATGTCTGCTCCTGGGCACGCTGCTTGGTCCATTTTTGGTGGGATCTTCTGTCACGTTCGTTGAAGGACGGGTCAGACCAAGGCGCAGCGTGAAATGCATACATGTTTATTTATCAAAATAAACACATGAACAAAACAACAACAAAACGTGAAGTCCTCAGGCTGAACACAATACAAGCCTATACACGGAACAAGATCCCACAACTAATGATAACAAACAGGCTACTAAAGTATGATCCCCAATCAGAGACAACGAGCGACAGCTGCCTCTGATTGGGAATCACACCCGGCCAAACATAGAAACACAAAACCTAGAATGAGAACATAGAAATAATAACATAGATCTCCACACCCTGACTCAACATACAAGAGTCCCATAAGTCAGGGCGTGACAATTGTGGGACAAAGATGTGTTATGCTGTTGATCAGTGGTAGGTATTAGGCTATTTGGGGAACCAACTATTGTGACTTTTGATCAACTTTGTGGGGTGGAGAGGAAGGGGGGTTTGGTTGGCCATGTTGAAACAGTTTTGGTGTTGAGGGTAGGGTTTTGGTTGGGGGGCCTGTTGAAACTATTTTGAATGGGGTGTGTTTTGGGGTCTAGGTTGAAATCCAATATTGTAATCAAACTGGTTGGGCTTAGACTTAGGCCTCCCAGAGCATTCACACTGGCCCAGTGGGGAATCAACAAGC